CGCTCCCGTTTCCGGCGACCGAAGCCTGCGCCAGCAAAAAGTAATGCAGGGCATCACGATACGCGCCTACGCTCGGAAAGAACGCGCAATGCCGCCTGCTGGGAGTTCGCGTGACGCATCAAGGATGAAGAGAAACTCTCCAAAACAGCCGCCTACCTTGAGCGGTATGGACGGCCAACATTTCCTCGCCTCACGTCGATACAGCTCGGCGATGGGGCAAGGGAGTGAATAAAAAAGATCAGTGCTCGGCAGCTGAGTCGCCGGATTGCATAATCGTACGCACGGAGGAAGCTGCGTGCCCTATGTATCGCTGACCCTCGGCAAGTGGCGCAACTACCGACCCGACCGACCCGAACTCAGAGTCGCGTGGCTCTGCGACTCAGCACCGCGACTCGGGCCGCGCGCTTTGATGTGGCGCGCCAAATAATTGGCGCCACCATGTGGCAGCGGGAGCGCGGCCGGCTGACCTTGAAACAGGTGGCTGGCTGGCCGTGCCGCGGTCCTGGTCGCCGGGACGGGCCGGCCTCCTGCCGCTGGTTCAGTTTGTGGCCACGGGGGACGCACCGCAGGGGACGGTGGAACAAGCCACCCGCGGCCACCGAGGCAGCGCCAGCAGCCTTTGATCGTCCCCTGACGCGTGTAGTCGATCGCATCGCTTGCCGGCGCAGTGGTCAGCATCAGAGGAACATGAGTCATGAGCAAAACTGAGATGCACAGCACCACCGTCATAAGCTGGCTCGCACGACTACATCACTGCTCGGCGCCCTGAGCAGGAGCGCCTTCCTCTCACCGAGTCGCAGGCCCCACAGAAATAAATCACTTGGAAAGCATCCACACCCGATCGTGCCGGCTTGCCCACCAAGCAGTTTCCAACCCCCGCGCACCCTGCACCACGGCCCTGCGAGACTGCAACGCAGTGCAACCAGCGGCGTGCGGCCTCGGCGCACCCGCCCGCACCGCCCGCCGGACTAATCCGCTTGTTGCGTCTCCGTCCCGGTCCCGGCCCATCCCGCACCTGAAGCCGACGGCCCCGGCCGGCAGAGGGGAGGAGCGCAGGCAGAGCGGAGGGGGCCGCGGGCCGGCCAGTCAGCTCCGCGTGGCCGACGTGACGCTGGCGCGTGCCGTCTGGGCGGGTCACGTGGCCGGCATCCGCCCGCGACCCGCGCGGCTCGGGCCGAGTCACGTGACCGCGCGCCGCGCCGCGGCGGGAGAAGCGGCGGCGGGCGGTGGCGAAACGCGTTAGGTTGACGCCGCCGGCCCAGGCCGGGCAGGCGCACGAGTGGAAATGCCGACCGGTTTGCGCGGCGGCAGCTTTGTCCCGTTGCGCCATTCTCCTCCGAGGGCGCTGGTTCGACGTTTCTGAGCGTGATTTATGCACCCAGCGAGGTGATGCAGCCGAAGGGTCGATGACGAAACTAATGCAGTGCAGATCTGATTCGTTCAGATGGTGGGGGGGGGGGAGGGGTAAGGAGCGAGATTATAAAAGTGGCTACCCATTATAACATTGGAAAGGAACGCTCTGCCAGTGCAATGATGAAAAATCGCATTCCTCAGCAATGTAGAGGAACGATAAGACACATGACGCTGGAATATCGAAACGTGGCAACATCGTGCGTGCATGAAGTGAATGCATGCATATATATATATATATATATATATATATATATATATATATATATATATATACGAACTACTGAAAACAACTAACGAAGTCATCATCACGCAGGAAGGGCGGAACGAAGAAGAGGGCAGAGAACGAATAAAAGGATGGCAAGCAGCGAGAACGCATGCACACGAAGAGGCCGTGAGATCGAGGGCGATACAGCGAAAGAGCGAGAAAGCCAGAGAACACGGAGACAAAAGAAAAGACGAGGAGAAACAGATCGTGTGAAATGCCTGATAAGAGGGGGGGACAGGATAGAGCCGGGCGACCTGGACCAGCCCGGCTCCGCCTGATAAGAGGGGGGGAGGGACAGGATAGAGCCGGGCGACCTGGGGCCAGCCCGGCTCCGCTGATAAGAGGGGGGGGGGGACAGGATAGAGCCGGGCGACCTGGACCAGCCCGGCTCCGCTGATAAGAGGGGGGGGGGGACATGATAGAGCCGGGCGACCTGGACCAGCCCGGCTCCGCTTCGCCGCCGCGCGCCGCGCGCCGGACGCCTGAGTGTTTACATCCCAGCCCGTCTGTCATCCCGCGCGCCGCTCCCACGCTCCAGTGCCGGAAGCGGGGTCGGGCCGCGCCCGGGGCGCCGTGCGACGCGCCGGCGGAATTGCTGCCGCTGTCGGTGCCGGTGCCGGTGCCGGTGCCGGTGCTGGTGCCACCGGGCTCGGCTGGCCGCGCGGGACGGAACGCGGCCGCCGCGGCACGGTGAGCACCTGTGCCAGGGGCACAGGTGCTCAGGCGACAGGCGCCGGACGACAGGTGCTGGACGGTAGACGTCACGGCTCCAGTCACGGCGGCGCGACATACGTCATGACTCCAGCTACGGCGGCGTGACAGACGTTACGGCTTCAGTCACGGCAGCGTGACAGACGTCACGGCTCCAGTCACGGCAGCGTGACAGACGTCACGGCTCCAGTCACGGCGGCGTGAACAGCCGCGCCGACAGCCGTGGCCGCTGAGCCAGCCGGTTCACCACCTCGTCCTCGCCGAGGGCTGCATTGGCCGATCAGGTTCGGCGGGCCGCCCGCGACGGGCACGCGTCACGCCAACGCGTCGTCCAGGACGCTGACGTGGCTGCCCACGGCCTGATCTGACTTGGGTCGACCCTGGTTCTGGCCGATCTGACCCAGGACCGAGCGACCAGAGGTGATCTCCCGGCCCGCCGACTCACAGACGCTCCCTGGTCGTCACCGGCCGCGTGCACACTGGACCGCCATTGGCGAACCCCGCTTGGACCGGCCACGTGCCCACCCATCCGAAGGCGGGGGCGATAAAAAAGGCCCGGCGACCTGCGGGACATCTGAGCTATTTAGCGATAATGCGCGTGGGGGCGAAAAAACCGCGTAGAGGCCCTAGAGGAGCGTGCAAGAAGGGCGGACGTACTCAAGCATGGCGACAGAAGAAACATTGTCGGCTTTTGAATAAAACATACGCTCAATATGCCCCGATGGATCATTGCCGGCAAAAAGTTCTCCGACGAGAAATGGCAATCCACAGCTTGTTTAATTCAGGTTATGTTCGGAGCTAGTCATGCCTCGACCCGTCTAGACTTAATATCCACCTAGAAAAACGCCGAAATCTAGCCAGGTATTTGCCTTCGGAGATACAAAAGCCCCGGACGAACAACTACTCTTTGTGCACGAGGACATCTATGTTTCCGAGCGCGTGCGTTCACCTCTTTTTGCCTATCCCCGTCTGTTTGTGCATTCGATGTCCGATTGCAAAGTCTGAATATGAATGATGATCAAAATGGCTGCCGTTTTGTTTTGCCGCGTCGCATGTGACTGGCGTCCCGTGCCGCTGCTTATTGGCGCGCATGCGGCGATCAAAGGCAGGCAGCCAGCCCCCGCCGCGCGGGTCGACAGCGGTACATTCCGCCAAGACCGAGCAGCTGCTCTGCGTTGTTTTCGCGAATGTCTGCCGTGATCAGGCAGCCGGGATGCATCGCCAGCACTGATGCCGGCGCTGGAGCTCTTGCCAGGCGGTGACCCTCCCAGCCTGCAAGGGTCCAGCGCCTGCTAGCGTCTCGGCGCGGCCGCGGACTGCTTCATCCCTAAGGTCAGACACCTGGGCGCAGCCACGGATCGGTTCAGCCTAACGCTTAACAGCGTGGTGTCGCCTCGGATTGGTCCAGCCCTGACGTCAGCCGCCTTGCGCGGCAGCTGGTTAGCTTAGCCCTGACGTCAGACGCCCTTGCGCCGCCGCTGATTGGTTCTACCCTGACGTCTGACGTCTTGGCGCCGCCGCTGGTTGGTTTAGCCCTGACGTTAGACGCCTTGGTGCCGTCGCTGATTGGTCCAATCCTGACATCAGACGCGTGGTGTTGGGCCGCGTCAGCGCAGCGGCCGAGTGTTCGGTGACAAGCTGAGGCCACCGGTAGCGCCAGAGGAGACTCAAAAGTGACCCACAACACGACACCGGGCACCGCGGCCAGCGACGTTCGTCGGGACACTTCTATGGAGCCATTCTCCCCCGACTGACAATAATACCATGGGAGTCGCGACACCAGTAAGGCCCATCTCGCTCCCACCTCTCGCGCTCCCGACAAGTGCCCTTCAGAGCACGTATTTTTTTGTTTTAAAACATGTCCTTTGTTTCCGGTTTCGCAGACCACGTGACTGGAACACGTGGCCCAAAGTTGCTGCTGCTCGGTAACGCAGCTGAGGCCCTCAAATGATCTGCTGAGTAGGTGCGAGGGTAGATGTCAGAGCTTAATAAGCATCACTTCACCCGGTAATGATTTTGTACGCGTGAGAAGGCACGAAGGGGCATTTACAGAGAGGCACGAACAAGTGCCATTGTTTCTGCTGGTTTGCTGGTTACGCTTTGGTTGGTTGTAACCAGGCTGATCAATGGTGCCAATAGAATTGGGACGTGGACAGGATGTGAACGAAGACCTGGAGCATTATCTCTCGTTGCCAGCCGAGAGATGAAGAGCGAGTATAGCTCGATGCGAACCTAGGATCAAATATCTTCCACGACCACAGAAACCAGCTCCATCCAGCCGATACATACGTATGCGCACTCATCTGAAACTGCCGATGCCCTCCCCCCCCCCCCCCCCCCTCTACTGAAGCGCTGGCCATAAGCTAACCTACGACATGGGTCACCTGCGCAGCGCCACCATCATCCGTGCCACCCGTCCGCTTATTTCCGCCGAGCCGCGGACAGCGCCGCTCCGATCACCCTCCAGCTCCAGCTCCAGCTGCAGTTCCGGTACCAGTACCAGTATCAGTATCAGTACCAGTACCAGTACCAGTACCAGTACCGGTATCAGTACCAGTGCCAGTACCAGCTCCAGCTCCAGTCAGCGCCCAGCCGTGCCCGTGCCACTCACCTTCCAGGTCGTCCCAGAGCCGGTCCGACTCGGTCGGCTGCGCGTCGTACTCGAAGCTCACGCCGCTTCTGACTAGGGGGTCGGCCCGCTCGCCGGGCGCCTCGAGGAAGAGCGAGGCGGCGCCGCCGCGCGAGACGAAGCAGCGCCAGCGGCCGGCGTCCAGACCGTCGTCCTCGGCCCAGAGCAGCTGCAGCCGCCGGTGCGTCTCGACGAAGATGCGCGCGCCCCGGCTGCCGGCCTCGCGCGCAGACCACGCGCGGAAGTCGAAGGCGTCGGACGGGTCGAGCGCCACGCGCAGGGCGCCCTGCGGGTAGCGCCACTGCACGCGGGCCGGCGCCGCAGCCCAGCGAGACGACCGTCACGTGGCCGGTCGTGCCGTGAGCAAGCCCGCTGCAACAGAGGCAGGGTCGCGGGTTAGAGGAGAAGGCTTGCGTGGCGCGGATGCGAGGAGCGCGCTTCAGTGACGACGAGTGACGACAGTGACGACTCTGGGGGAGTTCGGGGGGGGGGACGCGGTTTGTGCATCGATTATTTCCATACAACGCTATGGAGTCAACCTTATCTTTTTTTGAGCGAGACGAGGTAACTGTCCCTCCCTCTCGCCGTTGTGCCAGACACATTCTCTGAGATGCGGCAGCATGAGCTCATCGTGGGCCCAAGCCGTCGCCTGAGTGCCGTGATCTGTTTGAACATCAACGGTCACGCGCGGCGGCGGGCAACGGAGGGCAACGGTCACGCACTTCAAACTTCCTGGACGGAAGCTCAGGAACGCCTTAAAGAGCATAGGAAAGTCAGCTGCGCGATACCGCACATTGCAGTTTACCCTAGTCATGCAAATCGGCGGGGAGCAGCAACAAGACCATCGGACGGCAGCCAGAGGAGCGTGGAATAGGCCACCGTCATACTGCGACCCGCCAGTGTCGCTCACGCGCTCTTCCGCGCAAACGCCGGCCATCAAGGCGCGCCATTCGACGAGCGCGGCCGCTGGCGGACGGGCCGCGGCCCCGCTACGCCTCCAGCCGCATAACGCCCGAGAGGCGAGTGTTTTCTTCGTCTTCCCGACGCATACCTGCGCAGAGTGGCAAGATGGCGGCGGCCGGGCCGCGGGCAGCGTCGGCCGTTCGGCGCCGCCGCCGCCGCCGCCCCGCCGCGATAAGATAATGCTAATGCCCGAGTCAAGTTCGTTTATCAGTGTATTAGCGAGCGGTGCCAGCTCGGTCGGCACGGGCGGATGTGGACCTGACCATGGCAGTGCGTGGGGGGGGGGGGGACCTGACGACACCGTTGCCGTCGGCACGGGAGGGGCGCGCCTCAGGGCGCCGGCCAGCCGCCGGCGGTGACGGTGACGGGGACGGTGACGCGGCGGTCCTGCACTGCGCGGACCAGGCGCTGGGCGAGGTCAGGTCACCGGCGGACGGTCGGCGGATACGTACCGGAGATCGAGAGACAGCGGATCGTATCGGAGATCGAGAGTCAGCGGATCGTATCGGAGATCGAGAGTCAGCGGATCGTATCGAGGGCCGAGAGACCCAGCAGTCCACTAAGGCAGCGGCTCCATTCCGCGACAGGCCAACTTTCAAGCCGACGCCGACTTCCACACCGCCAGTTCAGAGCGTCAAATGCCGCCCGAGCACTGCGGCCACGTCAGTCGCTCGCGGTTGTTTGATGACGAGATGCGCCAGACGGCGCGGGGGCGCTATGTTTGGATTGTTTCACAGATATACATATGACTGCCACCAACAGACAGAACATCCTCTCAGTTTCCATTGGGTACGCCCCGCAAAATCGGCGGTATTTTCCAGATGTGCATCGACGTCCGTGGGTGCTGCAGCGGCCGGTCTGCCCGCAGTCCGCTTAAATTCCTCTCTAAAGTGACCTCGGCGCGCGGGTCCAATTAGATGCTCGGCGGGAGGAGCGCCAAAAGACGGGAATATGAATAATCAAAGTCCAGGCGCATTCTTCGGACCCGCCACGAATTAATCACTCCATTTATAAACAGCCGGCGTCGGGTGATGGCAAAACAGGGAGGCCGGATGGCGTCTGGAATTTGACGGCCGGCTTTGATCAGGCCGGAAACAGGCCTGATCCGGCTGGCCATCAGCCTAGCTCTGACACACAGCCACCAGCCTGGCTCTGACGCACAGCCACCAGCCTGGCTCTGACGCACAGCCACCAGCCTGGCCCTGACGCACAGCCACCAGCCTGGCCCTGACGCACAGCCACCAGCCTGGCTCTGACGCACAGCCACCAGCCTGGCCCTGACGCACAGCCACCAGCCTGGCCCTGACGCACAGCCACCAGCCTGGCTCTGACGCACAGCCACCAGCCTGGCCCTGACGCACAGCCACCAGCCTGGCTCTGACGCACAGCTACCGGCCTGGCTTTGGCACACACCCACTATTCACAAGTTCACGCACTAACAAACAGGAAGGCGGATTCTCCGGCGATAAGTGTAGAATTTATCTGTCACGCGTATTGAAATGCTCCATCATCTCACAGTTCAAGCGCCTTCGACGTAGTGTCCCTAATTGACCCAGCTGCACCTCCGGGAGAATTCTGGAGCCTGCGGGTGGCCGCCGGCGCAGCTCGCCAGCGCCGCCAGGCCAGAAGACCCCGGCTTCAGCCACGCCCGGCGCCGCAGCACGCGTCCGACCGCCGCCGCCTCGCGACCCGCGCCACTTTTTGCGCGCCGGCCGCGGGAACCGGTCGGCGCGCGCCTTTTTTCGGGGCGCCGGTGCGCGACCGGACAGTGACGCGGCTCTCCCAGCGCGCCGGTCGGCGTCGACCGTGACCGGTCACTGGCGGGCCGCTCCGACCGAGTAGAGGGCGGGCGGCGGGCGGCGGGCAGCGGGCGGCGACCCGAGGCCAGGCGCCGCACGAGCGATCCCCGCCCGCCGATTAGGTCCCGACCGGCCCGGCCTTCTCGGGTATGGGCACGGGCAGGCGCCGGATCGACGCTGGCCCCCTGCACCGGTGTCATCGGCGGATAGCGCCAGCGGCGGCTAGGCTAGGCCGGACAGCGAATGTCGCAACCGGCCAGCTGGCGCTGCGCTGTTTGATCCTTCCATACAGTCTGGACCAACAGAGCACCACAGATGGCTCTTGAGCAACAGGTGTAGCATGAGAGCGATGCACCTTTGATTGGCTGGCGTCGCCCGGCGACAGGCGTGCAAACGACCTTAAAATGTTCGAGAGCGGCTGATAGGCGTCGCATGACACGGGATTACCAGTCCCCACAGGACGCGTTACCGGGCGGCGATCGACCGTGTTAAGCCGGCGCCCCATTCAGAGCGCGCGCGCTAACACTCGACAGCTGACAGCCGAGCCGGAGCCGGAGCCGGAGCCGGAGCCGGAGCCGGAGCCGGAGCCGGAGCCGGCGCAGCAGCAGGCGGGTCGCCAGCGGGGCCGGCTGTCACACCACTCCACTCCCTAGGACGGGGCGAATGTCGCGTGCGCCGCACGGGCCGCGACCACCGCCACGCCCCGCCCCGCCGTGGCCACAGCTGCAGGCGCAGACGCAAGCGCTCGTGTCCGGCTGGCGTCGCCGGACCGAGCGTGCAGGCGTCGTTTGCACTGTGCAGCGGTGCAGCGGCGGCGCGCGGCGTCCGGCCCGCCGGCCAGGAAACACAGCGCGCCCACCCCCGTCACGGCACCGATCGGGGATTCCCGCCGCGTGCCGTGACTAGCTAATTGAGGCGACGCGGTCTCGTGCCGCGGCTACAAAATGGCCACTTCGCCGCCAAATCGGCCGCTTGGCGGGGAAAAAAGCCAACCGCCGAAAAAACTGGACCTAGTTAGAAGTGGCGCCTTTCCGACGCTTGCGGCAAAAAAACAGAGCGGGGGTCGCGGCTCGTCGGTGGGACTGGCGAGCGTGGACGACACCGCGCTGCCCCTGGGTCAGGCAGGCGTGACCCGGCGGGAGGGCGTCACTTCCAGGCAGCGGTCCGGTCGTGACCGGTCACGGTCGTGCGGTGACCTGACCCGCCAGGCAGCATAGATCTGCAATAGGGGGGGGGGGGGGGGGAGAGGAGAGGGCGTGCCGGAGGCACCTGTGTGCCGGCACGCCCACTTTCGGCGCTCGCCAACGTCCTTGTGGATTGCAAACGCGTTACGATTTACTAGGCAATATGACGCGAGAGAGCAATGGCAGCCCGATAGTGAAATCTCCAAATGGAAAAATCTCAAAGCAATCTACTCTCATCTAAAATCTCAGAAGCAAACTGTTCTTGATATACAAAGTTGGTGCTACGGTGTACTGGAAGCAAGCGAAACGCACATGCGAAATAAAGAGCAAGGAAGCGAGTATCAGTGGGTATTGAGTCCGTGGTTAGTGTGTTAGAGCCACCAGCGTGGTTCTAACCGGTTATAACGATGTCTTAGCCGGCTGGTATGCTCTATTCAATGCCACTGTGTCGTAAAGTGACTTCTATTGGATCCTCCCCGTGTCAGCCCACATCAGTTTCTAAAATGATGTTTAAATTTATGATGGCACATACGGTAAAAATGTTGTCAACAATGAAGATCGCCAAAGTCGTCCGAAGACGATTCTTATGCATGATGATAGTACCAAGCTATCTTGATATAAAACTGCTACGTAACCCCTTTAACACTACGGCTACTGGGGCCGGGGGGGGGGGGGGAGGCGCCAGAGTATCAGAAAGTCTCTGAATTCGATCGCCTCTTGAGTGAGAACGGGACTGAGCCTGAGCGGGACGGAGCCTGACAATGACGGACTTCATGAACAGACTGTAATGGCAGGCCACTCTCGAGTCGTATTGTATTTAAAACTGAACAAGATGACCGTCTCATGTCTGTCGCTGGGTCTTACGCCTTGTGCCTAATTGCCCTGGCGCATTAACTAGAACAAAATGCTTCGATGTGGCACCAGAATGGCTTCTGGCATGCGAATTTGCATCAATGGGGGTCATGCCTACATTTCCTCGACACTGCGGACGTTAACCCCTTAAGCGCATACAGTCAACATCAAAGCGCTTCGCTTTGACTCGGGACGTAAGTCAAGCTCCGAATCATGTCACTACATACGTTATTTTTACAGCTTTGCAGTAGTTTATTGCTGCGGGTTAAAATTGAGTCATTGCTTGATTCACGATGGGGAATTAATTTACAAACGTAACAAAGAAAAGAGCTAAGCTACGTGCAACCGGTTCTGACCGTTTGCTACTGGTTCAACTAGTGCCATGATCACCGTATAAAAAT